ACCGTATGTTAGATATGACACAAGATTTGCAGATGTTGATGCAAAACTTCAATTCGTCGGAGCAAAGAAACATCTGAATATCCGTAAAGATATAGCCTCAAGATATCTAAAACTATTCGACTAATTTAACATGAGATCATACATACAAAATACAAAATGAGCTCGAAATATGCTCGAGATCGCGCGTTCAAAACTATCGCTTTTTAATGTTTTAATATATTGGTCGACATGAATTATTTAATACTAATAGTTATAGCACGGCAACGGTACAACAAGCATGGATTGTAGATACATGTTATCTTTGCACACCAAAAATGAGCCCATAGCCGATGTCACCGGAAAGCAGTGGAGTTGTTCATGAGAAAATATGCCCTCGGCGCATGACGCGATCAAGATAAGCGAATGGCGATGCATGCAGCTGAGAAAAAAGACGAGCTAGATAAAGATAGGTGGGAGTTTTCTTCGTTATAATTATTCCGGTAAATTATTATAATTCTCACTCATTAGGACTAAGATTATTTTATTTCATATGAACGTTATTCGGTTCTCAACCTGCTCTTCTTATGCTCTACGCCTAAGAGACAAATTGGCCCTAACAGTAGGTGTTACCAGCTTGTGCCTATATATATCAAGTTTCCGGAAGACGATAATCGTCAAACATAATAACAATTATAATTTTTTACAAATAGGTCTCTCGCATGCGCCTCATTGAGAAGAAATTCTGCAGCCGTAAACCTGCAAATTCGCGACCAATACAAAAAAAAAAATCAGGAATGAAGTGCGCCAAACACATTAATTCAAAACACTTTAACTCTTCCAATATTATTTTTCCATAATAATATTTTTTCTTTTCTAAAAGAATATTTTACGAGGTCGACAGAACTATAATCCAACAGACTAGAAAACACGAGTAGGGAACCACAAATAACCACCTATTAACCAACATCAAAATTCACAAAGAGCCTCTAGTTTAACATATTACTTCTCAATATATTCGTATTCGAGAGAAATATAACCTATATGTGTATAAAATTACTTCTTTCCTATATACTTCAATCCGCAACCGTTATTTCTAATATATTTCTGACAAGAAGATTTCTGGGAGTCCACAAATTCGCAGCAAGCTATTGAGATTTTCTATCGAGGTCGAGCGACGCACTATACACGATGTCTCAGTGCAAAAATACTGGGAAGCTCGCGCCGGAAAAATGAGTTCTTTTCGCATCGCTCGCTTTCTGGAGTGAAATTAGAGCACGCAAGGTGACGGAGAGTAACGTTCAGCTCCGTTCAAGAGAAGTTCTTCATTTACTTGAGAAAATTCTATCTATGGTAATTCTATGCAGAAGTGGAAATTGATAAGTGGGATGATGAACGTACATCACGAAAACCTCGCAATTAAATCTAGATGTGAGCACACCCTCATCACAAATGATGTGTGATCATGTAAATAATACGCATGATTTTTAATACTATTGTAAAAGAAGAAATGCTTCACCATAATTCCCTACATATACCAATTTTAGACGAGCGACATATATGGTGACAAGGAAGTAAGTGCACCTAATCATTAGTGCGAATTCAACGTGGTTAGTGCGAAGTCATTCAATTATTAAACGGTAAGAATAGGGGATGACTTTTCACTATAAAAATATTTATTCCATTTCAGTATAGCTTGATCGCAATGACACTAAGAAATTAAAGTTCAATAGATAAGATAACTAATGAAAACTAACGAAATGATCAACTGATAATGCTAAATAACTAATGAAAAAACTATACTAGTTAAATAACTAATGAAAAATGTACTTTTTCACAGGATCGAGCATCTCGAGTGCTGGGTGCGTTGAAAGAAAGCAGGCAAGGTTGGTTAGGAGACCGTGCACCACGACCAAGCATGCAGGATGTGTACAAGAAACTTGATGCGTGTAGCTCGTCATGAAGCTGCGCCACCAGAACCTCGCATCAAGGCGTTCCCAAACGGAAACTTGCGTCTGCATGTCACTCCATCCAATAAACTGAGCGTAAAACAACCAACGATACAAAAATTTTAATGGAATAAAACACGATTGGATGAATGGCGATGGTGAAAATAATTGTCCAAGGCATAGCTGCACGATCTAAATATGTAGGCATGTATGCACTATTATGTACTCATCAATGACGTCACGATTCAAAATGAGACTATTGAACGTACAAAAAATGAAATTCAGATCGATCATTAGCAGTGCGGAAAACAGAAGGCGAAACTCTTTTCAAAATTCAGGACAAATTAAGGGCGAGACGGAATACACGTATAGTAACGATGAATGGCAACTGAGCAATTAATGTCGGACTCGCAGCAGAAGATCGTCAGTGTCCAGTGACACACCTGTTCAAAATAATGTCGCAATAATTTAGCAATAGCCAACATTATACATGTTACATTTCAAATCTTGAATCACAGTGAACCACATACAGAGGTAGAACATAACTTCATTTGATGAGGATTCCAGCCAAATAATGTGCATACGATGTGGCAAATGTATTCTATTCAGATAACGATGTTGGTAACGCGGAGACGATACTGATGCATAAAAATACACATTTTCAATTTCAGTTTGAATTAACGATCAAGCTTCATAATGGGCAGCGTGTAAGTTTCAAGTGAAATACATTATTAATGAGTTAATCGGTAAGAATCGATATCGCTGCGTTAAACAACGTGTACATGAAGTTGAACTTAAACAGAAGATATCTCAGAAGTTGATGGAATTTTGCCGCCTCAATAGTTACAATATAAAGGAACATGATACGATCAAGAAATATTACGGATTTGAACAGAAAGTTGTGAACACAATGAATAATATTATTTCTGAACACAACCGCATAGGGAGCAAGAGTAAAGCCGTATGTGAAGACGGAGCTAGATAACTGGAGAGAAACAACGCTCACAATGCGCTTGATAAATCAATTTCAAAGTTAAAAACCTCTTGTTTCCTATTACGTATTTTCCAAGTGATTTCCTTGGATCGTTCATCATACAGTCTTTTCAAGAACTACACGCATAAGAAATTATCAGCATGACAGCCAGAATAAATTCAATCATTTACAGTTTCAGTGGAGCAACAGGTCCTTCATTTCAATATTATTTCATCAGTTTAGATTAGAGTGAGATAGAGAACATTCGCAGCATGTTCTTTCTGAAGAGTGAATCACTGAAGAACTTGTGAATCGTTTGCCCGAACTTGGACAACGACTCACCAAAAAATAGTTTGAATAGAATTTAAAGAAATTTGATAACATAAAATTTCGTCACGCTCAACCTGCAATAAATCTTTCAGTGACAATTATAATGTAAGTAATATTAGGTTCATTATAAAAATCCAGAATGATTGTATCCTCATTGTAGGAAGAGAAGACAGCGAGGAGTGCACTGAAGAGGGGTTGGGTGTCGAGGTTGATTCAAGGTGGCGAGGAGAGCTCTATTTAAGAGTCAACGACCTTAGGCCGTGTCACTGACCGCACGCAGCCCCTGATCACTCTTGTGATGATTATTGACATAAGAAAGAACAGTCATTTTGTGCTGGAATAGGCATCAGCACACGAGCAAAATCGACGAATTCGCTCGCATATTATTTGATGCTATTGATTTGAATAAGACCATGTTTGATAGATCTATAACTAGGAATGATCATCATTCTTGCTTACAGTTAACCTATGTTAACAGTTAAAATTTTTTTTGTTAAAGCATATACTGTAGGTATAAAGATTTGAATTACTTTTTCCAGTTGACTTAATCGTCTTTTATTGTGAACAAATGTCTCATGTATTGCAGGTCAGAAATGTTGTTCGATCATCGTTAACCAATATTACAGGACTATAGTCGACGGAGCATAGGCGAAAAAGTTATGAAATTAGAGTATAAAATCTGATAGAACACAAAAATCACCAATACCTGCAAAGTGGCCTTTCAACACTCAACAGCATCTGTGCTATTGAGAAAGAAATCCTATAATGCAGAAATATAACAGTCGTAAAAACAGTAAATCATAAAAGCAGATTGGTAACTAAATTCAAACCTAAAATATTTTTGGCCAAAGAAGGTGCACTGAAAGCAAACATTGAACCCAACACGCAAAAAAAAAAAATCCATAAAGAGAAAAACATGAATCCATCTGCACCAATTTAAACTGGTGTGACTTGCACGTGTTTCGAAACAGCACCCGGAGAACAACAAAATAGAATCCTGATTTCATCGGGCTTTTTCTTAGCTTTCAAAATGGAATAGCACAATCGAGGAAGAGTAAAGAAAAAGTACTCCTATTGAGTTGCAAGTCGTTGCTGCCTGATGGGAAGAATGCGTTCTTGCATTCCCCGATAAGATATACCATGCACACCCCGACAGTCAGAGAAGCGGGTGATATCGTGTACACGAACCAGAGTTATAATTGGCAATGTAACCGGCAACGAATTTACCATTCTGACTTTCGTGATAGCTGTACTCTTAACGCACTCTAAATAAACGAAGGTCAAAGCGCTGCTCTAATACTCTAGTATGATGTAAATTTCTTATTTTCGCAAACACAGACAGCTTAATGCATAAATATACAAACATGGGCTTAAACAAACAATGATTATTGAGGGATGAAACGCTTAACAAGAATATAAAGATCAATACAAGGATTGTAGGAAATAATTCTATGCAAGTTTCATTCCCAGAAATCTTCAATCAAACAAGCAAATCAATTGCAAGTTTTTTTTAAGTCATGAGGATAATGATAAACTAGAGAGAAGAGCGCAACTATCACAAACACAGGACAAGTTTCCGAACAAACCTTAGAAATCGAGTACGGCACCAATAGTCAAAATTCAAACTTTCTTTAAACAAATATCAAACAACGAACTTCATTGCAGTCAGAACCAGTCAACCAGAAGAGACAGTGTATTCTAAAATATTTTGAACAGAGCATAAATAATCTACGAATTTATGGTAATTGTTATAGTTATATTATTGACCTTACCTTAGAGTGAGGGTAGCTGCTGTGAAGAGCATCACACTCTGATCCTGTAAGAGAAAACTTTTTTCATTCGTGGTATAATTGTTTATTTGATCATTCCTAAATAATACAATAATGTCCCAAGTGTCAGCATCATATACACACAATATAATAAGACGTTCCACGACAAAGAATTTGTTTTGCCACGGAACGAAAAATGTCCCTTCTACAACAACCGGTCGTGTCTTAAAGAAATTAATCAAAATACGTGGAAATTGGCAGCATGTAAAACGATGACTGTTGAATATGAGTTCCGCAAATCTGGCGCCGTGCTATTAAAAACAGTTTTGATAGCATGGGCTAAGGGAAGTAATTTCATCATAGATATTACTTACCGAGGACATTACGAATGTTTAGCTAGTATCCTAATTATTGCCCTTCGTCTAGGTACTAAAACTTTTCAGGTATCGACACGGAAAGGTCGATAACACTAAGAAAATTCGCTGCATTTAATAGAGCGAAAATGTGAAATTTATAGAAAAATTATTACACTTACTTTACTTCTATGCTTATTGTGAAGCTGACACCACGATAAAGGCGCTTAGCTTCCAGATAATTTCAACAGCATTTATTAAACTAGTAAATTGTGTGTATGTGATCAACTTTAAAAACTAACCTTATGAAAAGTCCTGCCGCTTGACTGGACTCATCGAAACTAAGACCCCAGACATTTCAGACAATCTGAATTGATTAAGCGAAATGCCATCACCAAGCCCAGACGATTTGAACATTCAGTCCCCTAGTTAACCAACACTATATATTCAGCCATTTATGTTAAATAAATCACTTGTGAGCTCCCCTTCATCTCTCTTATCCCATACATTACCTGGAGATTTAATGTGTAAAGACGAACTGAGGTTTCTTGCCAAGCGCAAGGCTTGGTTGGCGGCCTTCCAAGGGACTTCTTCCAATGGCCAGCGCCAGTGTGTATAATTTATGGTATTGCTGACCCAAACCTCGGCTAAAATACACTAGGAGATCGCGATCATGCTCCTTAGCGCGCAATACCGACACTCTGGAATTAACATTATTCTCGGTCGCAACAGCTTTGGTTGCAGAAATAATTCCCATCCTCTAATGAACATAATGAGAACATTTTCGTGAAAGAAACGTTTAAAGTTGAAGTCTGTTGTGATGCTGGTGACTAGGGAAGACCGATCTTTATCACCATAATAACATGAATGAAATCTAGTCGGTTCGATCACTCGGGAAAACGAGCAAGGTCGGAGGACGACTTCGTCGTCCTCCGTCTCCAAGTCGTCTCTAGGCAGGTCCATGGTACATTAGCATATAAGGTTGAGTCACGAGAAGTTCCGTCTTTCAGTTCAGCTTTCCTGTTACGTCACGTAGATCAAGAAACGTAAACAAACCAGTCATTCCCATGACGGATTGGTTGACTGGTTTGATCGCATTTCGGTGATTGGTTAATGCCCGTAACGTCACTAAGATCAGTGACGTCACAGGCGAACAACGAACTACATCCGCAAAAATGGGCTTCTGATGGGTCAACCTTATACTAGTTCAAATATGGGCAGGTCACCCTGCCTTCGGAGCCCGGATGTAGCGTTGGACGTGTTCCGTATATTTGTCCTCTTTTGGGCCAGCTGATGGAAGATGCTCTTGCTTGTCATTTGTTGAATGTAGTTTCCCACAGCTGGACAATCCGGGATCTTTTTCAGAAACTTATCCAGTTGTCTCTCGAAAGTCGCAAAGGTAAACTCCCCTCCTCTCAGCACCTTTTGTAAGGCGTTAAACAGCCTTGGTCCTACTACAGACAGTGATCCTTCACGAAGAGTCTGTACTCTGACCGCGGCACGGTCATTGAATGAGGGATTCCTGCACTGCACAGTCTCCCCCCTCCTTTCTTTGTAAAACGTCACTATTTTTTTCGTTGTAATACGTCACTATTTCACTCTTCAACATACAGCAGCAGCCTGCAGCACGGCGCACAGCAGCACGGCGCACAGCAGCACCCAGCACAGCAGCAAGCAGCACGACTTAAGATTAATGCACGTTAGTGTAGAGGTCGTTCCTCCCCCAGATCACCTCGCACGTACAACATTGCGACTCCAGCAGCCTCTCTTACTCATGTCTGATGCGTGTCTTGCCACTTATCCTGCTGCCAGACACGAGTCTTAACCCTGCCACTTATCCTGCTGCCAGACACGAGTCTTAACCCTGCCACTTATCCTGCTGCCAGGCACGCGTCTTAACCCTTTAACCCCGCCAATTATCTTGCATCTATTGGCATCGCAGTATCTATTCAGTTACACATTCCATACGAAACTAATGCTTAGCTTGAATTACATATTAATGCTAACATAGGTACAGTTAAATAAATAATAATATTGACATTTTGTAAACAATGATGTATTAAAATTTTGTTACTCTAGTTAGCAATGAATGGTAATTAGAGAACGATTTTGAACTAAATATTTTGCATGCTTTTAGTTCTACTTAATAAATCTAAAACTTTTGTTCTTGTGATCCTTCTGAAGCCTTAGTTGCAATTATGTATACTAAATTCTAGCACGTTACTAGCATCAAGTCAAATTTTAATCCACTGTGAAAGCTTTCTCTTTCACAAGAGACCCGGATCACATTTTTTGGTCAAGAATAATGCTATGAACTTTTCTAACCTGGATTAGGCTAGCTCAGAAACGGCAATGAAGCCTGGAGCCTCACACATCGCAGTGTTTCAGTAATTACAGTCTTATTAATTATGCACTTATCATTGATGAAACTTTTTAGATTAGAACACTCATGGATTCAAATAGGTTTAAAAAATATCTATTCATAGTTAGGTATAGAACTATAGATAAAGCAGTTATAAATAAAGGCTCAACATAATTCAAAACGTTTTTAAATGTAAGAACAGCATTACATGTGCTTGTTAATAAGGTTAGCAGTGAGTAAAATGAGCATCTAGCTAGTGGCTTGCGCAGTCAACAAAGACTAGTGTCGAGGACACAAATACCAATTATTCAAGGGAGCCACGGTCCTAATATATATACTGCCCTTCAACCTTCACAGTTAATTTAAAAATGAGTGCAAGAAAAGTGGTCACATCAGCAGACTTATATTGCCTGGATTACAGGACAACAGGTCACTAGAGACCCCTTGTTAAGAAATGGGATTTACAAAGATGAGAAATTGCAGCCAGCATGGCTCATATTGCCAATATCATCAATATATTTCATGGAAATTCTTGTTTCACACAGAAAATTTTCCATGAGTCAACCATGCTGCTACTCATCATGACTACCGGTATGAGAAAATAAAGGCATTACATCATGAATGTTTCATAATCCCCTCTATTTATGAAGAATTGAGCTTCTGTGATTTAGCTAAGCTACAGAAAATATCAGAAGATTTGGCCAACCCATATGGGCTAATAATATTCCACAATTAATTATATATAATGTTCATTATTATACTTATTTAGTTATTTCTTGAATCACATAATTTATTTTATTTTAGTAATTTAGCTTTTCCAAACAAGTAAAAATGGGAAAAATTTTCAGGGATCTCTTTTGGCTTTGTAGATAATTGTTAGTTAGATGAGTGGAGACAATAAGCACCAGCTTTGTGAGCAAGAGAAAAATGATTCAACTGATAACTTAAGTCTTGCATATTAAATGCTTGCACACGAACATACCTGTTATCATAGCTCCTAGCTAAAGCAGAAACATCTTCCTGAATGATACCGGTAACAATTTTCAAAAACACAAGTTTTTATAAAATTGCTTTAAAATCCACCCAATTTCTCATGTGTTACAAAATTGAAAGCTTTTTGGGAAAATTTTTATTTAAATCCATTGTAGTGGGGTGCTCAGAGTAAGCTGCAGGATTTGCTGTGTCAGGACCACACCACAAGCATCTATAAAATGTGCAAAGCAGAACTCATAAACTAAATACCAAGTTGTATTTGCCCAATGGAAGCTTTCAAGTTTACAGATTTATGTATATATATTCAAGGTCTCTGAGAAGCCAATTCAATGCCTTATGTACCTATTGCATGCAACTCACTTTGAAGAAATTTAACCCCACTGTTCTATCATATTGAACTGATTTAATCAAGAGGATGAATAAAATTTTTATTACTTCAATGCATTATGATTTTAATTTTGTTCAGAAGATATATGCAACTAAACCTTTTTTTTATACCTCAGCTGGTATTTTTGGATTGGGCTGAAGACCTATCTGATCAATAATGCAAATATTAACTACAACTCTCAGAATTTCCCATGACCAACAACATTAGTATCGTCAACTGGGGTGAATTTGGCCACCGGGGTGACTTCGGCCAACATTTATGATTTTGTTTTGCGGCCATCTGTTTCTGTTGTAGTTGTGATATGTGATTGGAACAAAATGGTATCCAATGTAGTTTTTTCTTATCTATCGATTGGACACTGTTTTGTTTCATTAATTTTATATCCTGCTTGACTAACACAATCTGAATGCCACAGTAGGTACTCTAAAGAAAAAAAAAGTGCAAACTTCAAAATTTTGAGATATGAAAAGAATTTTGGAATCAGATTTATTTCACTTATTTTGGTACTATCTTGCATAATGATTATTTCAATGGCTATATGTTTTTTACCAAATGCAATAAATATGCTAGAAAAATCAGCTGGCCAAAGTCACCCCATAGTATATATATGGGCTAAATGGGGTAACTTCAGCCAGCCAATAAATGTTTAGAATAATAGATTTTTCTTCTTTTTCAGACAATATGCACAGCTATAAGCGTAAATTAGATTCTGTGCCATATAGGATATATTATGTGGAGTCGTTTAAGAAAGCATTGCAATTGATAAAAGATGGTGTTAGGCTGTTAGCTTAAGAGAAGCTGCTAATATTTGTGTCCCTCGTTCACCTTTGAGCGACCGATGTGCTGGCCGTAATGCGAAAATTTTTTAGGACATTCTACTCTTTCACCTAGGGAGGTTAAAAATTACCTTGACAAACAGGGTCGCACTTTACGTAAGTTCAAGGGTTGCACCTCTATCAAGCATCATCAGTTTTTTGAAGAATGCTCGAGATCCCATGGGGACTAGATTTTTTCAAACTTTCACATCCAGCTGCCATTTAAATTAACAGAAAGCAGCCTTAATGAAGCATATGATTCGCATATGTGAGTTTTATCTTTGAGTTACAATTTTTATAATACACAGTGGCATTGATTATCATTTTTTAAAACACCCTACATGGCTGATGTCACCCCGCTAATGGGTGAATTCGGCCATGAATTCATTTTACTACGTTTTTACTGTGTTGTAACACATGTGGCCAAAGTCACCCCATCATGGGGTGACATCGCCCAACCAGCTAATTAAAAAAAAAAAAAATTATTTTTTGATAAGAGTGACATCATTTAGACATGACATATTTAAAGAAGAACCTTTCAGTAATATATTTACAAATTTACAATCACCAGCAACGCTTCATTCTTATTTTGTAGGAATTTGATCAGCAGAAACTAGTGTAATTTGGCCAAAGTCACCCCAGTTGATGGTACCTATTCCAAAAATAGCAAATTTACCTTTTATATGGCCAATTATGAATGATTGTTATAGTAGCACTTTAAGGTTGATGGAGAAGATGGATAATGTACCTATTCCAAAAATAGCAAATTTACCTTTTATATGGCCAATTATGAATGATTGTTACAGTAGCACTTTAAGGTTTATGAAGAAGATGGATAACAATTAATACCAAAGGCTGGTATTAATTATGAACCTAAATGACACTGTACAGATAGAGAGCAAAATCTCAAGATATCCCAACAATCCAGGGCCAACACACAGTATCAAAATTTATTAAAAAAAAATCTTGATGAGCCAGTTACTTTTCAAGTAGGTACTCTTTAGAAATATCTGAGAGGCTATGGTAGTTTTGGTAACAAATTATCAATATCACAAGAAGGTTTAAGGGAACCAATTCTGAGATAAGATGCACACAAGATTGAAATTTTTCTATCATTATTGAAACGTGGTGGCACCAAAGTGACATATTTTCAGTAGATTTGGGATCTTGTGGTAGGTACAATCTTGCACTTTGGCAAGCAATTAGACAGGTGATATTTTATTTATCAGGAATCTAACAGCTTCAAAAATCATGGAAAAGCTATAGCATTAATCGGCCCAAAAGGCAGAAATATGTTGCCTGGCAATGCAAAGGTCAAACTCTGAATAGTGGGATATGTTGTTGATTAACTAGGTACTTAGTAGAGATTAAACTTGCATGTCCACATAATGGCACATATACATCAATTCCATCCTATTGTGATGGTTGATGGCAAATTTGAAAAGATGAAAATATGTTAACTTGAAAAGCGTAAATGTAACTAGCACAGGCATGCAAAAAAACTACTCTCGTTGATTTTTGGAGCCATGAGTTTAGCCAAATTGCATTGACTTTGGTTTTCTAGCCATAAATCCATTTCTGATGACAATAAAGTCATTATTCCAACAGTGTATGCTTCAAATAATAAATTTTACCATAAACCTTCAAAACTAACATTCTATTTCACTCTAGAATTTAGAAGCAATTTAGTAGGATATTACATTATAAAAATTGTTATCAATTTTGTTGTTAAGGATTTATCCTAGTATCATTACTACTGGCTACATGATGGCAACTGTGAGAACATCAACAAAAAATTTTTGGTTAGGAGTAGGTACTTTTTTGGAACTAAATTTAACTTAGTGAAAAGAATAGCTTGAGAATTTTTTTAGAACATGTTTGCCAGCCAGCCAACAATTATTGATCAGGCAAGAATAAACAATTTTTGAGCTGCAATATTTCCAATTAACTGAAATCATGCAACTTAGGTGACACCAAAATTGCATAATTTTATTATTCTGGGAATTATTATTAACAAACAGGGTTAATAATAATACAGGGTTAATAATAATTGGTGCCTTGATATTTTAGCAAAATATAGGAGTTTTCCAAATTCCAATCATGATCTGGCTTCATATATAGTAAATTAGAAAATCTGGCAGAATCTTCCCACGAATGAAACAAAAACACCAGTGTTGCAGACAATTTTACCCATTTCTGTGGCCCCTGCCATTTAGCATCAATTAGAGCTTTCCTGCTATTTTTGGATCAGCAAGATTCCCACCAGATTAATTAGTTTTTATCTAATGTTAACAGGAGTGAACCATCAGGGAGTAAGATTTCAAATGCATAAAAATTATAAAAATGTTTTTGACTACAATTATTGGAAATCACCCAGACAACAATCATTTTTACAAGTAGTTTTGGAAAATTTTGGCCAATATTCCAGACTAGGCTTATTAGTGTTGAGTTCACGAGTTGATAGGGCACCAATTTGTAATGTGGTGCAGAATTTTCCTAAAACTGTAGGTAAGAAAGATTCTAAAAATTCTGCCACTACATATGGTTAAAGTGCAATGATTGCCATGAACACATGCTCATTACAACTGCTGCAAGCAAAATACAAGCAAGCAAAACAAGATGGAGTTACACGCAATGGTGGCATTGTTGATTGCTTGATTCAAATCTCTAGTGCCATAGTGTCAAAGCAGAGACTTTTATAGACTCTGTCTAAAATTCATTTTAGAGAACTTTAGTTTAAGGAGACCAGTAAAGTTTCATATACATCAGCATTATCATGCAAAAGAAATTGGTTTAAATCTTGAGTAGACAAAGAAATTAAAATAAACTTACTGTAAAAATCTGTGGTTTGTCACTATGGTTCGTGATTGATGGATGTCAATTTGTCAATTGAAGGGGAGCATGTAGGTCCAAAATCAACAGTGTTGGCTTTTCCAGTTTTTAGTCTCATCTTAAAGCTGACATTCTGAGCTATCCAATGGTACCATTACCTTCTCTGTACGTTGATTTATGCTTTCACTAGAGATTCCGCAAGGGGGAGAGGTGGGTGGGGGTCTTTAAGAAATAAGACTGGAAAAAATTCGCTGCCCAGCCTATAGAGTTTCTACTCGGAGTGAAGCTCAGTCACCCTCCTGTCACTGAACGGGGGAGGTGTACATGTAGTTGCTCCCACCATCCTTGACTGGTACAAGCTCCAGTAACATTTAATTTCAAATCCTTGCTACATTGAGTGGCAATTCAGGTGCGTGAGGGGATACATTGTTGTTCCCGTATTTATCTGGGTGCGTGGCTGTAATAAAGAAAGGTTCGGTAATAAATACGCCTGGAAACGTGCAACAAATTATTGATTATTGTATTGTTATCGGGAGCTGAGCTTCCCTAAAAATTTCAGAGTGCTAGCTAGTGGGAAAGTTGGTGAAATATCGATTGCAAGATTTGATCATCACAGACACGAAAGCGAGCTAAGAAAAACGTGGTAAAAAAGTGGCCTCAAACTTGCTAGACTTTCTCTTTACGCATTGAATGATACATGTCTCGATGTTGTAGAATGCGATTTGCAATAGTTATAAACTTTTTTAGAGTACCCCCTGGCCCCTGCCCCTTTATTGCCGTTTTCTATGAATTTCACATTTTCTTTCATTTTTTCCGAAAAATTCACATGAACAAAATAGTCGTCATTTTTGATTATACATATGATGATATGTGTACCAAGTTTGGAGATGATCCTTCCATATATATTGAAAATAGATTTTGACTTAAACATTCCCCTTAAGGTCAAGATGGCTGATGGAGATAGGAGAGCTTGAAAAGATGCCAATATCTCAAGCTAAAAGGCCTAACTTTTATTAAATAGGCTGTTTATTAATTTTTTAATATAGGCTATAAGAGCCAAAAATAGCCATTTTCATCATTTCTACAGAAGAAATTAGAAAAAGGTATAGGATAATATAGGATGAATAAGATAGTATGAATACTTATTGAATAGTACAAGCATGGAAAACTTCCAACCTTAGGGCTGCAACTCAGCAACTAGAGCTTTCCAACCATTTCCGGAACTGAGAGATTTCTGCCAGAGGAATTAGGCCTACCTCCTATTACAGGCTGGAATTCTAAGAATGGAAGTTCACTTATAAAAAAGCTTTCCACCCAAGGTGAAAAGCTTTCCTTGGATACAGACTAAGCCATACAGTGCTCTGCCAGCCTGCCAGGAGACTGACTAAGTGACTATAGCCTANACCTGTCTCTTATACACATCTAGATGTGTATAAGAGACAGGCCTAATACTGTAATCACTTAGGTACGGTAAGGTACCTATAAAAATACAAGAATATTAGTGGCCCAGTGGGATACTAAATTTTAAATAAATATTTCAAACGACCCCCAATGCCAATAAAAAACTAATGTAAATAGAATGACAGCACACTGCAATGACTGCATTGCAGTTGGTGATTTAGTGCAACACCAAACACGAGGCTGACGAGGGGACGTTAGCATCAAATTTGTTTCGGCAGCTTAACTAAGTAAACTTACCTCATATATTCTGCATAAAAAACGTATAATCACCTTGAAATTTACAAACAAGCGTTTTTTTAAATACAGATAGAAACGACGAACGAACAGACAATGATTAAATATGAAAATGACAACGCATCAAGCCTGATCAAGGAAACAGCAACATCACCTAACCTCCTCACTCACTCGTCAGTGGTAAACTGACGTTCGAAATTCGAATGAACTGTTTTGGAAGCTTGGAGCATCTTTTATGAGAAAATACGGACAGCGCTTTTACAGAACGCTTTCAAGCACCCGTTACACATTATGATTCGTATTGCGTTTACAATTGAATTTAAATTTTTTTCAATTCAAGTCATGAGGTAAAAGTATTAGATTAGGTATAAAAATAACTCAATACATAAAAAATAAGCTAAATAACATCAACGTTGAACATAAGGCTTGGCCTGTAGCCAATTCTAGATTTTACAGAATATTTTTCACAGCTAGCTTTGTCTTGCACCCGTAACCCCCTGCTGGAATCTTACTATTTCTTAGCATAATCGTCTCGGGTGCGCAAGAATACGGACTTAATTATAAACAATCCTTAGGAAGTTAAAAAACGCAAAAGGATTGTCTGTCGAGATAATCCTCATCTCAAGTTTAACACAAGAACAGGGTGGCCCAGTGGTTACAGTTCAGAGTACCTTGATTGGAGCAGAGAGGTGCGGGTTCGATCCCAGCTCTGTGCGCCAGTTTCTGGTCAGAATCGGCAAGGAGGCCCGGGCGGTAAAGCAAATCAGAAGTGGGACAGTGAGAACGAGTTCAAGACCCAACAAGCAGTGCAAGTTCTGCGATGTTAAGAATCGGCAACAGGCCTAATAAATGCTGAAGCCGCTATAACAATATTTTGGCTAAGATCATTTATATCAAATTGGCATGGTTCAATTATATTAGCATAACACTTTTCCTTGGTAATGGACAAAAGATCTGTAGTTTTCCATTTTAGCTTTTGATCACTTGAAACAATTCCCTATTCAAACACCCCATTTTAATAAAATTGGCGCGTCATCAGCAGTAAGTTTAAAATGCTGTTTTCTGAATAATTGACATTGTACGCCAGCCTTTTCAATGATAGGTAAAGAATGCCATGTGCAGTAAAGGCAGCTAGGATTTCATCAGTTAGAAAACATTTGGACGCGAAACGCGCAATAAAAATTCTCACAACTAGAAGAGGCAACAAGGGTAAATAATCGGTTAAATTTAACGGTTCTTTATTATATTATTGAAATATTTGGGTAAAAATCATGTGAATCTTTCTATCTTATTACGAAAAGGATTCAGTGCATGGATTTAAGTCTTCATTGTATACTGTAATAAGTCATCACAAACATTACACAAATAAAACCAACTCACTAATTAAAACGTCAGCACACAAACTGTAGGATCGAGTAAACACGACGGAAAAAAACAAGTGTTCTTGACTTAATTCGTCAATCGTTTTGTTCTCATTACGAGTTTCTGCTTACACTTATTCACGAACCTACTCATCAAACACAGGAGACGATTTTAGCTGACATTTTGATAGGCCCACAAAGGATACGCCCGAACAAAGAAACTATTTTTCAGAATCGGCTGGTGTAAAATATTCAAAGGACATTAATAAAATAACAGAATGATTACGTAATAAAAATGAATGGTAACTTGAAAAAAAAAATCCAACCAAAATTCAGATCAATCAATTACAAACTGCAACCAATAAATTTAACTAAAAATATGTCATAAATCATATTAATCATACTTTCACCAAAAACAAAATTAATTTTCTTTGTAGACCAGCTCACTTATCATTGCAAAATTCGCGATTAAAAGTATATAAAACCTTTGTTACATTTATATTAAATGCCTAAATTTCAATCCGATTGACTTGCAAAACATTAATTTTTAAAGCAAAGGTAAAAACAAAGTGAGAAGGCAATGGGGCAGAGGCAAATTCTTCAAAACCATAAAAAACTTTAAATAAAAAATTGACACTTTACAGAATCTAAAAGATGAAAATAATCAATCAGATATCACAATAAAAATTATAAATAAATTTTTGAACGACTTCAAATTTCTAAATAGCAAATAAAACTAAAAATTGAGCAAAAGAATTACTTTTTACACGGAAAATTTGTTTTGTCTACGTGTTTTTCCGGCGTTTAAACAATGCTATATTCTCTAATAAAGTATAATTGTTGAATTCACAGTAGACGTCAGTTAGGTAGGGTATGTAGAAAGCCCGGAACAATGCCGGAGACCTGCGAAAAACATGTATTACACAGTTGATAAAAATGCGAATATAAATGTTTTAATTTTAAAATAACCATTTACTACGCAACTGAGATGAAACATAAAAATGAGACAACATAAAGAAATACAAGGACTTAGATGACAAGAGTACAAATAATTTGTATTTGACATTTTTTATGACATCCATAGTCACTTTAGCTTTTAGAATTTAAGATTAAAAATCTACGGTCGCATATAGGAAGATACGAACTTTATTTTATGAATGTATCGTTCACATGGAGCTCAATCTACCAGAATCCTTGGAACGTTCAAGCAGAATAATTCACGAATATACCCACAATGAATGGAAGTAGAAAATTACAATGTTATTCATTTACTCAAGATATTAAGAGAATGAAAGCAAACTAAAGGTAATAATTGTTGTTGCTGCAAATACCAACCTTAACTTGTCAAGGAAAGGCACTGCAGTGACGGTAGACCAGGTTTTGGTCTGCGTGCTATAGCGTGGCTCTTCATGGCTGAATTCTGGCGTGTCTTGGTCAATCAAATAATGACACGACTCGGCATTTACCTGGAAATAAATAATCGCTAATTTATTGATCCATTCAGAAGAATTGAATATGGAGGAAGTACAGACGAATTTCATTCAACACGAGTTCTACGTTTAGCATCAACTACGAAGGATTGTATATGAAGAAAGAACAAGCGAAATGGGACAAGACAAAAAAAAAATTCAAAGAGAAAAGGACTTTTCATAGTGCCGTGAATAGCTAATCAACAATTTATAGAACATTTAACACGAGTCCATCTATCAAAAAGTTTAGCAATGAGAATGGTTCACTTAGTAAATTGAACAAAGAACAAGCAGGGCAATTCAGAAATGGAGATGCTGACATATCGGTCAGTTTCTTCCAGGTTTAGGTCATTGAAGTTGCTCCTCTCTATAGCAGTGGCGTTCTCCGTTTGCAGGAAATGCTGTGGAAGCTGTCCCTTGAAGGAGGATTTTATAAAGTGCAATTCCCACCTGAAAATAACGGGAAATTGTTCTTAATATTGCAATAGTATGTATATTAGGACGAGAATGGCAATAATTGCTTAAAATATCTAATGAATATTTGTAGAAGAACCTGCCCTGCCCTTTGAAACTATATGGTCAAATGATGAATCAAAATACTCGTCGCAGATACTACATTATCTTCATCTCTCATGGAGATTATTTTCTCATTTTATTACGTAAATAATCAAGTAAACATGTTAATTTGAAATCATAATCAATATTTTCTATTCCGAGTCACACGCCAGGGGTCGCTAAAACCTGTTCGGCGTTTATCCACAATAGCACAAGTATATTCTTATTTTCATGACTACACCAGCCTCCTAGGTAATGCGTATATATTGATAAGGAGTTACTCACTGACCTGTCATTGGGCAAGAAGAACGAAGACGGGAAACGGTGCCACTCTTTGCCCAAACAAAGTCTGGTTACGGCCCTCGAGGGCTGGGCAGGCAGCCTTTGCAGCTCCAAGAAAATGTCAAGCGGAGCGTGGTAGCCTGCACAACGGCGGCGAAAAATTAATACGCAGAACTTTATGCAATCTAATCGTGAAGAATTTTCACAACGGCCAAATTAAATTAGAGCTGTGGGCAACAGTGCCAAAATTATTTAATAATGACTATTGCAATCAAATCGCAACCAAATATTATCAGGTCATATAGATAAATTACTCCAAGCTAGAATCGGCAATGAAAATCAATTCAATTAATACCAAAGTTTAGAATACTAAATTCAAGGAGATTAATGACTAGGACAAATTTAGCTTATAGACGAGTAGAGAGACTCAAACAACTTCGAGGACCAGGAGAACCTCATTTAAAAAGGACATCACAAAATAGTACTTAGTCGTACCATAAGTCAGCTAAATATCTAACTTTCAAAAAAGTCAAGAAGTATCATTGCTAAAAAAAGTCGAATTTTAGGTAAAATGTTAGCATGGCTTATAGACATGACCGGGGAATGCGTCAATGTATTGAGAATGAATAACGTGGGGAAGAATGTTAGACGACCATATTCAGATAAAAATAAAAAAAATACGATTCCCATCTATAGGTGAAGGGTAAGCCGTAACTCACTTCTGTATTGTCCCACAGAGCGGCTGAGGCTCACTACTGAAGAGGTCACCAGCAACGACAGCGTCACATACGACGCCAGAGCCGAGCAGTTCTGCAGCGGCAGGCGCTTCAGTAATCTTTCCACGCTCTCTGCAGTGGACAGAAATTTCTAGATTTAGTGGCAAGGAGAGATTTTTAGCGACAAGTTCTTTTTACTTCCCTGATTTAGTTCATTCAATATCTATATATGACGATAATGCTGTATCCAGAAAAGTTTACTGGTTTCCTCATTGCACTCGAAAGGGACGAGACACGAAAAAAGTCTCTGCTTCGCCACAGCACACGGCAAAGACATCAGGGTTGCAGATCAGGGTGGAATATCAGGAATGGTAGTTAATATATTCAAGATCGATCGGGTCCTGTTACTTGATTAGTTACAAAATATCAGCTAATATAAAAAAAATAAATTTCAGATCTTCAGATATACCTAGTGTATGAGCACTGGTTATTTATTCATTTATAACCCCTCTTGAGCTTCAACCAGCATGGGAATGTCATCAAGATGAAGTAATATCACCAGCAGTAGCCTCCTTGCTGTGATATGAACTATATTTACCGAGGTCAAATGGTGATCATGATCATTTTTTCCCATAAAATATAAAACCTCTGACAATTTAGTGCATTTATTTTAATTATTGCACTACAGTGATCAATTTCGGCTATATGCTTCATTTTTAATAACTAATTTCAATGCAGTTTTGTATCCTTCACCTCCAGGAAAAAAAATTGATTTGTGGCGTGAATATTTTTAACATTATTCCGATTATATTGCTTGATGACACTAACCTAATGCCATAGCAGCAGCCAGACATATTAAAGGATAGACAGGGAAAAGGAATCGTTCTTCTTTATGAGGTTGCAAGAAGAAAACAGCAAGCCACAAGTACAAGCCTGCCAGGCTCAGCCACTCCGGCGCGTGCGACCGACCATTTGTCATTCCACACATGACACTCAGACACTGAAAAAAATGATTATAAATAAGGTGAGGAAAATAAATATAAATGAAGAACATCTTCATTAGATGATGGACAACTTTCATTCACAAATAAGGTGAATAAAAATTGGAAAACGGGAGAACATCATTGTATAAGAAGATTTATTAAGCAATAAGGCATTAGAAAAAATTGTTTTAATCTAAGGTTAGTCACTACGGTAACAAAGTTAACAATTATCGATTAAAGTTTCACCAAGAGAGGCAGAGCTGCCAGTGCCAGCAGGAATGCCAAATTGAAGTTAAGAAATCCATTGATGACGTAGAAGCTCCAGGGCTCGGTGCCGTAGAGGTCGGGGCCGTGGGCCGTGAATACGTTGTAGAGCACGAGCTGTAGCGGTGCCACCACCAGCCTGCCGTAGTACAGACTGTCCAGCTGCACCATCGGCACCTGAGCACAGCGGCAGAGATATCAAAATAGGAATAGTAATTAATAGTAATAGCGGTGGCAGCTTTGATTATACCATTAGACCTGCCGTAAATTCTGAATTTTCAAAGCTTCTTGCGGGTCTCGAACATTCAACTCACTGCTCCTATTTTGCAGCGCTTAAACTTCCAGACCAGAAATTAGCCACTAGATATGCTTAGGACGCTACGTATGCTTAGGCCGCTAAGTATGCTTAGGCCGCTATTGTATTATTTAAGTAGTTATGCACAGTCACAAGTCCACATAGAGGAGAAGAACGCTGCCATGTTTTAATGACATGTGCAAGGCCGAGGAAAAAAACTTTGGAAATAATTGCGCCTAAATACTTATATTGGCTTCTACAAGAGAACGATTTAAAAAATTGTTGCTATGACGAAGAAACGCCGGTAAGAAAATGTCATAAATTAGGACAAGGCAAAGTTTAGGCCTCGAAAGACACTAAATGATAAGAAAGAACAAATAATCTATAAGTATGTGTGAACCTCTATCACTGAATGCATTTTATTTGGCCAGCAAAATATTTTTAGGATATTTTAAGCTAAGACAAAGAAACTTATGTGCATACATATATTTAACGCAATATCTACTAAATACATAATATAATATAAGAATAATAAAATCGCAAATTATCGTGTTCACAGAACGTGTTTGCAACCTGATAAGGAGGGAAGCATGTGCCTCCACGCACCAGTATTATGACTGCAGACAGGAAGCTCCAGAGTAAGAAAAGTTTCAGCTTTCCTTTGCGCACGACGATATCGTAAGCCACCGGAGCCCTGAAAGAATAAGTTAAATTTTTATTAGAGAAACAGTTAAAAAGTTTTGAAGTTCCATTTATACATCACACCGAGTGCTGCAACAATGTCAGACCTCAAAACACGCGGATTTCTCAGCTGTGCTGAATTAAATATCGATGTAATTCAACTGCCGGATACAAAGAGGTGAAAAGGCAGGCAAAATGTACAGGGGTGGTCAGAACAGAGGCGGAGTAAGGGAGAGAAGTAGAAGCAAATGTAGACCAGTGAAGATCGGGACAAATCAAGATTGCAGAATGGGAGGTAGGGGGTCTGGAGGGTAGATGTTGAATTTTTTACGCGTGTAAGCAGTTTGTCGTGGTGCAGCCAATAGGACGAGAGGATAACCGAGAGAATGAATGGGAGGGAAGGGTGGAGGCGTATGAAGCTTCAAAAGAAAAAACCAAATGCACATGAAAAAATTCACGGCGGGGAGCAGAGCCAAGAATTCTAGGCCCTCAGACCAAAGGTGAAGCACATCCTCCGTAGCCGCTGGTGACGACGGTTGTAATGGAGGAGTCGGCTGAGCTGCTCGATTCAACAATGCTCAGTAGGAACTAATTAGCTGCGCTTCAGACAGAGACCAGGGCACGACAGACAGAGACCAGAACATGACCGACAGAGAACAGGGCATGACCGGCAGAGACAAGGGCATGACAGACAGAGACCAGGGCACGACAGACAGAGACCAGGGCATGACCGACAGAGACCAGGGCATGACCGGCAGAGACAAGGGCACGACAGACAGAGACCAGGGCACGACTGGCAGAGACCAGGGCATGACCGGAAGAACCAAAATTGTTGTGTTGTTGTGGATTGGCGAAATATCGGAAGTTTCGACAGTGAAGTACCATATGTAGGAAAAGCAGACCAGAGACTCCCACAACAGAAAAAATTTTGTGTCCAAGGTTTTTAAAGATGGGCGTCAGCTTACCCTCAAGTCTGCCTCTTCAGGAAAAACTTATTTAGTGACGTAGACAAACTGAATATTGTTTACTTAAATCAAAGTTATCTAAACTGCAGAAAACAAAATGGTTGTGTTGTGGATTGACAAAATATCGACAGTGAAGTATGTAGGAAAAGTGGACCAGGGCTTACTACGACAGGAATAATTTTGTGTCTAAGGTTTTTGAAGCTGAGCGTCTGTTTACCTTTTAAGTCTGCCTCTTCAGGGAAACTTCTGACTCATTAATGATGTAGACAAACTGAATATTGTTTACTTAAATCAAAGTTATCTAAACGAACTTGCAATATATATCCTATTAATATTAGCAAGAGCTAACGTGGTAGAACGGAATGAAAATATTACAAGGCTTTAGTAAAATTAGATGTTGGTGCAGCTCGTCCATCAAAGTCCAATTTTTATCAAATACTTTGGAACTGATTTGTAAACTTAATATCTTATGTAGTAACCATCGACTGATGCTTGGGTAAATCAATTATCTCACTCAGTTATTAATAATAATTACGTACTTATTAAGAACCAAATAAACAAATAAATTAATATTATGTAGATCAATAAAATTACGTGACAAATAATAAATAAGTGATGAGTGAGGCATTGTACACACCATATAATAAAAGCAAATTACCCAAGGACGGCAGCGAACGGCCATCCAAGCAGCGCGGCGACAGCATAGCAGAAGATAGCCAACTTGTGTTGACGCTGAAGCCACGCACCCATGCCACACGCCACAGCCTGCCTGCCACAACACTGACTCTTTACACACCTGCGGCTTTTGCTCGTCATGTCCGACTGTCTGTCTGTCCGTCCGTGACCACGTTTTCGTCGATGAGAAACTGGGCTCTCTGTCACTCACTGCAGTGAGTACTGAGTTATATTTTCTTTAACAACGGCACAAAAATACAATTGTAATATTAGCTATAATGCAACAACTAATGCACCAGTAGCTCTATTTAACTTCATGTAAATTCCAGCATTGAAAATATTACCGGTAGTGATAATAAGAACTCAACCTACTCCTTAGTCTGATATTCATATTATATCATGAAAACAATTACAGATATCCACAGGTTGAGAATTTATGAACAAGATATGGATAGAATCAGGTGTTTTGAAATTATTATCCATATTTATTTTTATTTTCTCTGGACTTTTATCATTGGCAATGTAGGAGTAAACACAAACATAGCAAAAGATGATGGCAGGAAAGCAGTTGAGGCAGCAAACATTCCAGTGCTGAACACCAGGAGGCAGAGAGTGGAGCGGGCAACCCTGGGTCCATATGCCACTAACACCCCCCTGTACAATAAAAAAATATTGCTAGAGACATGAAACGTAAAAAATTCATTTGGACATTTAGTTGTCATATTCCATCAACTAATGAAATAGTTTCTTGACATATTTGTGCAACATGTTACATGCAATGATGCAAATTTGATATCATGATGAAATTGAATAAGATTTGTCTCGCATCATGTAAATACTCACTATTAACATTGAAATCAAGAGGCTACATAAGACAAAAGCTACAATCCATCAAGTAAATAGTTAGATGGATTAAAAAATCCATCATTTTACTAATGACGAGACTGGACAAAACACAATATTTGCATAACTGCAATTCCAATTTGTCATTAACTACAATCTCTGTAACCAACAGATGCAACCAAGCACAGGGATCAAAACTCCTTGAGCAAAATTAATTACCAAAGCAAAACAAAAGAACACGAAAGAAAAATACCTGTTGAACATAGCATAGTTCTAAGTAGAAAGTCATTATCATGAAACAAAAGGAAAATTAAACAACTGGAAAAGATTGAATGGATAAATAGAAATCAAAACATATTGGAAAGCACAGACACTTTGACAAAGTATTAATTTGGGTGGGTTCAAATTGCATGGAAAATCAAGTTAATCATATACCTACTTTAAGTTAAGCAGAATGTTCTCACTTGTAAAAGTAGAGCTCACAGGCTGAGCTGAGCATTGCAAGGAGGCAGCGGACAAAGAAGAACACTAGGACTCGATTAGACTGCAAAAAGAAAAGTTCAACCAGTTGGTGACAAGTTTACACTTCTGGGGCTTCAAACATGACTAAAATGTATTTTGGGACTTTTGAGGGAGCAAACTTCATTATGATATACCTTGAGTCTTTTGTGTGAGCAAACTTCACGAAAATGTAACTTATTAGATCAGCAAATTAAAATGTTAGAGCAAGAAGTGTACAAAAATATATATATTTGCTTCATGAGGTAAACCAAGACTTATGCTCAGTACCTAAGTAATTAGCACACAAGTAGATTTAAGTCTCACAGTGACAATAGCATCATAGAGCCAGGCTGGAGCTGCATGGAGTAGCAAGTAGAAATAAGAGCGCAGTGCATACTGAGGAGCATACTCCCAGGTCTGCATGCCTTTGCCATACAGCACAAAATGCATCTGCAAATAAAATAAAAAATTTTATTTCCAACAATTGACTTATTCATATAATGTGTCAATGTAAACATAGGTAACACTGAACATGAAGTACATAATCCAAAAGATGCTTCTTTACAAAAACCCATTAATGCAGAAAAGAGAACAAGTTTCATTAATTAAACCTTGTTAATACTTGCAGAAATAAATTTTTGGTAACAAATTATGGGCAAGTGTTTCTTCATAAGGTTGGACTGAAAATTGATCTGAAAAATTTCCATGCTTATTCAATAAGAGAAAAATTTGAATTGGAGTGATTCTGGGAGGAAATTTTAGCTAATCATACACTGGAGTGCATCTTAATCTTTTAAAGCCAGGAATCATAAATAGTGGATAGATATGCATCAATAATTGGGAATACTGGTCTTGATGAGAAGTATGATTGCAGAATAATTGTAGCAGTTTGAAAATAAATAAAAAATTATAGCAGCATTTATCTAAAACTAAGTAAATGCAATAAAGTTGTAAAATCACTGCTGTCATTTGAATCTAATTAACTTTTAATCAATTTGTAAAACCTTAGAGAAATAGCAAGAAGAAAAGAATTTCTCATGACCCTAAAATTTGCAAAGATATTCAATAAGACATATGTGATATCATTGACATCCCCAAAAATCTGTAGCAATAATAATTAATATGAAAAAAACTCATCAATAAGATAAGAGTTTCACTAACTGGTTCCCAGTAGTTGAATGTCTCATCACAGTCTGTAATGATGCCCCAGACTGCAGCACAGAGCCGTGCTGAGAGGAGGGCTTTCAGGGCTGTATAGGTGCCAGGACTCCAGTGACCCAAACTCGAGCTCATGCTATCACAACTATAGAAAAATAGAAAATAAAAATTAAAAGCTTTAAAAAACCTAATGGGATAAATCTAGAAATAAATGTAAATTAATTTTATTGTATTTGATCTATAGGCTAGAAAGGTAAAATTTGTTAAGGAAACTTCATAAAATTGCTCAACAAAAAATTGTGTTCAAAGTAAAAATATTTGTTTGACTATAGTGAATAAGTAATAGCTCATCACTTAAGTCTAGATGAACACACTATAGGTATGTTATTTCAATATTCCTGTGCATGGCCTCATGCCATTTTTCTTTTATTCATCTGACTACAGTTAAGTTATGGAATGCTTCATGATAAAAACATACCAAAATGCAAATTTATAGGTACATTTAAAGTATCTATTATCAACAATCACCTGGCTTTGGCTGTTTGAGAATTTATGCCATCAAATTTCTTGCTTGCTGGTTGCTGATGTCCAGCACGATGTCTGCTCTGGTTACTAGGAGCCATTTTCAATCAACTGCACTGCATTTCAATCTCAAAATTATCTACACTTCATCAAAAACTGCCTGTTGGTCAAGATGTTGTAGCTTTTTACATTACAACACACCATGAATCAAAATGAAAAAGACAAAATGTATAGGTATAAATCAGTAAAAGCATCTCATCAGAAATCTTTCTCATTGGCTCAATTTTTTGTAAATATTATTTATTGATAACATGCACCTACTTATGAAGCACTTCTAATCACTCACCATGCAGTTAGAATAGAGGGAATAAAATTTCTAGAATTTTCATCCCATAAAAAATGATCAAAATACTTTTTGACCCATGTTTTGTTGATTGGAGTAACAAGGCTGCATGCCAGGATGCCTATTGCAGTAAACCAGTAATGCCTGGTTCCTACTCATAAGCATGATATGTGTTAGGTGACCATACATGGTCATTTCAAATCCCTGTCCCAAATAATCTGCCATATCCTCTGGTTTGTGTTTCCAGCTAAGTAAGCCTAGATTATCATGCCTCAGGATTGGAATTTTCCTACTTATTAATGAGATCTTGCAGCTCCTAAGTGAAAAATTTTCAGTGAATGAGGAATCTCACAGCCCAATTTAGCACTTATGCCAATAATAATATATGATGTATATATGTACTTCAAGTAGCAGGAAATTTGCAACTCAGAAAATCACATGAAAGCTCTGGTCATGGTTTGAAACTGGTGAGGAAAACATCTATTTACTCTCTGAACTGTGACTTAAATTTTTGAGCCCTGATTTTAAGATTTTGTAAGCCATGATTCCATTTCTTTGAGCCATGATTACCATATCCTGGCAATGGAAAGCCATATATGAGCAGCAAACTCAGTTGCAAAGTCCTGTGCATGTGCTACTTCAAATCTCTATTTTTACCCTAGAAACAGCAACAAGAACATTTGTCTTTACTCTAGAGGCAAATAAACCAGTGATAATGTATTGTTTATGTTTTTGTTGGTGAATATATGCAGTTTTAATGCAGTCTGATGGGACCACAACTACGCAATCACTGACTAAATGTTTTGGTTCACTCATTATGCAGGATATTATGGCAGGAGCTTGTACTGCATTGCCAAAGTTGAAAACTTTGTGAAATGACAAGTTTGTGAACCACAATTTATTCAATCAAACATAAAAACATTACACTAGAGCCATGAGATTTCATACCTACTGAATTTATATGATATTAGAGCCGTAAGATTTCAGAAAAAGTATGACTTTTCCCAAGGAGGTTTGAAATGTAGATATATACCACCGTAAAACGGGGTAACTTAGACCGGCGGGGTAACTTAGACCACTTTTCGTTTTTTTAACAAAAAACACCACAACTCAAAAACTATTTGACATAGAAAAATTTGGTCAATGGGCATTAAAGGCCTAATACTGAGGCTACATAACACAATAGAAAGATTTAAAAAGTTTGCATATCTAATAGGTTAAAAAATTAAAAATGTGACCAACTTTTTTTTAGAAAAATTAAAAATGTTAAAAAATGTTTGAATTGTGCACATGTTTATTTCAAACAGTGTAAGCTTTTCTCATAACTTAAGTCTCATTTCAAGTCATTTGAGGTTTGTTTGGTTGTCATTCAGTTTATGTTTGTATTGGTTTATTGGTCAGAATTAAATGGGAACAGTGCAGTCAGTCACTCAGTCACTACTAGCCAGTGTGTATAGAGGGTAGAGTTTGGTAGATTTATAGAACATAAAACTAGTAGATCTCTTGATAGTGCTGTGCACTGTGCCATCAGCTACCTATCTGTTGTGTGACTCTTCAATGTTCAGAAGATCTGCATTCCGGAAGTGTTTTTGTATATTGAAGGCAGTTAAATGATCAATATTTAGCTTATTACCTTGCTCCATACATACTTTATGAAGTTAATAAATAGACTTATCAATAATTGTTTACCCAAAAATCCCAAAAGTGTAAACACCACTTTGGCCATTATTGAAGGCAATAAGTGCTGTTTTTAGCCATCCATTATGATCCATACCATAAAATGGGGTAACTTAGACTACTTTTTCTTTTAAAGAGATGCCATTTTTTACTAGCTAAATTAAACTTAAATTGAAACGTGCAAAATACAGGTCTATATTCTAGGTTCACTCGCCATAAATTCCTGGCTCCTGCCTGTCATAGTTTTTATGTGATTTCAAAAAAAGTGATGGTCTTTGTTACCCCAGCTCTTGGGGTATCTTAGACTTTTTTGAAAACAATATCAGGAAGATGGGGTTTGTTAGCTGCATCACACTGTTGGAGTCGTTCTCGGAAGTTTTCTACAGCACGTTCACACATATGGCAAAGTATGGCTATAACCTCTGCTGCAATAATCCATTTCCTTGGCTGTGGTAGGGTGTGAGGGCAACTTCTGAACCCCTTTCATTTAGATGTCCCCAAAGAAAAATTTAATCGTAAATGCTCAAATCAGGTGACCATGCAGTCCACTGTAAATCAGCCCTCTGAGTCTGGGAACATGCGTTTCAAAACATTGAGTGACATTCAGGCTGTGTGAGCTGTAGCCCCATCCTGCTGGAACCACACGTCTCCCAATGCTTCATTTTCAACAATGTTTTCCATCATGGGCTGCGAGAAATTTTGCAACATTGCAACATAGCGATCAAAATTCACTGTTACGGTTACTCCCTCCTCTGAAAATGACACCAACAGAGTGTTGCAGCTAACAGCCCCCATCTTCCAGATATCGTTTTCAAAACATAAGTAATTTAAATGGTATGTTATGCTAACCTTGAGGAAAAAGAACTTTCTCCTTTATGTACCTCTATTACTCTTTTATTTTACCTCAAAACTGCTCAATTGGTTCTGCCACCCTGTATATTGAGAGGTTGAGATTGTATTGACCTTTTAGGCAATTAGAAAGATTTTCCACCCTAATACGAGTATTCTAATTAAAATATTTAATTTCAATCTTTAAATATGTGAATTTAAAACTAGAAACAAAACAATTAGAATTATAAGACTATATATAAAATAATTAAATGCAGTGAATGTTTATAAAATATTTTAATTGTGCACATGTTAATTTCAAACAGTGTTAGATTTTCTCACAACTTAAGTTTCGTTTCAAGTCGTATGAGGTTTGTATGGTTATCATTCAGTTTATGTTTAGTATTGGTTTATTGGTCTGAATTAAATGGGAACAGTGCAGTCAGTCACTCAGTCACTACTAGTCAGTGTGTATGGAGGGTAGAGTCTGGTAGATTTATAGGACATAAAACTAGTAAATCTATTGATAGTGCTGTGCACTGTGCTATCAGCTAACTATCAGTTACTATGTGACTCTTCAATGTTTAGATCTGCATTCCTGAAGTGTTTTTGTATATTGAAGCCAGTTAAATGGTCAATATTTAGCTCATTACCTTGCTCCATACAAACTTTACAAAGCTAATGAATAGACTTATCAATAATTGTTTACACAAAAGTCCCAAAGTGGTAAACACCACCTTGGCCTGTTGGCCATTATCGAAGGCAATAAGTGCCCTTTTTAGCTATCCATTATGATCCATATACTGTTATTGTTAGTAGGCTAATTGCAACAGAAAAAATAACACTTCAAAAAGACAAAAAAGCTGAAAAAATCAAATAAGAAAAATCATGAAAAATAAAAAAAATCATTGATTTTTCATTTTTTTTATTAAAAAAAATAAAAAAAATCACCAACCCTGTATAAGACTCTGTAGAGTCTGAAACATATTTCCTCAAATTTGTCATTTGCATGTGTAACTAGAAGAGTTCTACTACAATGCACCAAAACCTGGAGTTACTTTACCAAAAAATAAAAAAATTGGAGGGGGTTCTATGACAGGCATTTGTGGGTCACATTTTTTATTTTTCAACCTATTAGATATGCATAATTTTTTTATCTTTCTATTGTGTTACGTAGCCTCATTATTAGGCCTTTAATGCCCATTGGCAAAATTTTTCTATGTCAAATAGTTTCTGAGTTTTGGGGGTTTTTGTTAAAAAAACTAAAAGTGGTCTAAGTAACCCTGGGAGTCTAAGTAACCCCATTTTACGGTATACTGTAATTGTTAGTAGGCTAATTGCAGCATAAAAAATAGTCTTTCCAAAAGACAAAAAAGCTGAAAAAATTGAAAAAAATCATAAAAATCATGAAAAAATTAAAAAAAATCATTGATTTTTATTTTAAAAAAAATAAAAAAAAATCACCAACCCTGGTACCTAGAAACTAGAATGCCACCATATTTTATCATTTGATGGTCTGGACTCTAAAGGTCTACACTCAGTAGCTTCAGTCTCAGTGTCTTCAAGTGTAGAAAAATGCATGCTGAGGATTGAGGACTAGGTTCCAGCGACCTATAATATAGGCCGCAGCTGGCACAGCATAAATATATTCAGTTGTGTATACAAGTCCAAGGTCAAATGGACCAATACTCCAATATAGGCCCTATATAATTGAGTCATGGACATATATATGCAACTGATTACTAAAGACTTGAGTTGACTTATCTTCTACTTTTTAGCAGTCTGCAGGGTGCCTAGTGTCCAGTGAGGTAGTTCCCATGCTCTGTAAACTTAAAATTGAAGCCACAGGTTTGCCAGAGCCCAGATGGTTAATACTTTGGATCTGAGAGCTTGTGAAGTTGTGGAGCTCAGCAGCAGTGAGCAGGTCAATTGCCATGGGAAGGTAAACAAATCAATGCCTTTGGATGTCATCTCACTCACATGAAAAGTCAGTTGACATGAAGCAGTGAAGCTCAGTTTAAAATTATGGAGGGATTGCCAGAAAACAAGTACGTACCTATTATGATTAGTAAATAATCTCAATTCTCATGTGTGAGCTCATACAAGTCTATGAGAAAAAGCACGACAGAAGCCGGAATGGTGTGCAGTCTGCGGCTTCCAGCTCTGAGACTGAGTAAAGTTAATGCATGATGAAGCTGGTCATTGGCTCCAGGGCTTATTTAAGGGGACCATTACGGTAAAAAAATAGCTTGACAGATGGATCGGGTTAAAAATTTGCCCACATATTAAGTAAAGCAGAAATTGATAACTTTTTTGTTAGTGTGAATTTTTTAAAAAATTAAAGAAAACGTGAAATTGATAGAAAATGGC